TCAATTTCTCAAAAAAAAAAAAGGAAAAAAAAAGGCTAATACCTTTTATACAATTCTCCAAACGAGCCACCCCAGAGGCGTTTCCTAAACAACCCGTCAGCACAGTGGTGCCCTTCCCACAGCTCGAGCCCACCAGTCACAATCCCGGGCACAAACACCACCGGGTGATTCACCGTCAGGCCCTCTTTCCTCAACTTGACCCCGGGCGGGTCCGGCAACGGCCCCGTTATCGCCTCCGTTACGTATTGTGGAATCGAAGCGGGCATTGCGTTGTATAAGAATAACAAGAACCACCACATCGAACATATGAAACCAATGAACCAACAACAGCTGTCCCAACACGACCATTTTTTGGAACTATAACTTTCTCTTTTCGGGCTCTTATATTGCTTTTTCTTGTCATCTTCTTTTCGGGCGTTGGCATCGGAGTTCGGGGATTTTGAGGAATCTGTTACCTTCCTCCGCCGCAGAAAGGACATCGTTTAATGTAAAAACGAGGAGATCTATAAATGCTGTGCGGTGGGGCTAATTTGTTCATTAATAGGGACCGAGAATTGTTATTCTGAGATTCTTCTCATTGATTAGGAGAGGGACTTTTTTGTACCTCTCAGCGCCGGTGACAATAAAAGATCATGACACTCGCCGGCGGAGCAATAGGTGGAAGCACGAGATTGGCTGTTATTTAACCTCGAACAATCTTCTTTTCCAGATCCCTCTAACGCGGGTCCCACCGTGACGGATTGGTTCTGCGGGAGGGGAAATGACTCCTTTTTCTCCTTTCCGTTAAGTTTCCTGCGCTGGCCGACGGTGGTCAGCTAATCAGAGGGCGGCTGGTGGAAGATCAGAAATCAAGGAGATGGATTTAACGGGTGATTGACGTTACTAGTGACGTTTCCGGTTTAATATTTTCAGTAGGAAGAACCAAAACAAAAGCTGCTTCTGGCTTCTAGCTTGGATGTTGGAGCGACGGACAGTCAAAGGGATACGTGTAAATAATGTGGACGGGTCTATGATGTGCATGCCAATGTGACCAACATCTTTCCATTGCCTCATGCTTTCGAGTAATTTTCTCTACCACCTTTTTTTTTTTGTTCATAAATAAATAAGTACAAAATTTCTCCAATTTCTCTATTTTGCTTTTATCCTCCCTCTTTCTTCTTCTTCTTATTCTTTATTCTGCCGTAATTCAAAATTATATTTATTTAGAATCTATCGTTTTCGACTTTTTCATGGGTTTATGGATTATCCCAATTTCTAAAAGAATTTCTACTAAAATTAAAAATCATTAGGTCATATTAACCCAATAATTAATACATATATCTCGAAGGAAATGCAAATAAAACATTGTTGGTGAAAACAATAAGCCAACTACTTAGGTTGTAAATTGATATAATATTCACTTTGTAATAAATAATTATACTCTACATATATTGTTCCATAATTTTTAAATTAAATTTTTAAGTGTGCGAGTGATTATTATGTGATACATACAAGAAGCTTTTTCTTTTTCATTTTTTTATCCGCATGGTTGAAATGTCTTCTTTTCCTCACTACCATTGCAATATTATTTGACAATTACATCATATGCACATCTAGCATTTATAACCAACAAAGCAAAATAATTTATCTGTCTTACTAATTAAAACTGTATTCCTTCTTATTTTCTATGTTAAATCTACTAATTATATTAATTTACTAATTTACGTATATATATATATATGCATGTATGTATGTAGGTATATTGGTGTATTTGTTATAGTACTAGTACTCAACTTTGTTCATTAACTTATTTCATGCTAATTGTATGGATCTAAGATTATTTGTTTCTATTGAAAAAGTATTCTTAATATATGTTATATTGGCCCCTTGTGAATCGTTCCCAAAGCAATGGATGTGGGGGAATAGTTTAAGTTAAGCCCAATTGTTCACCAATACGTTTTGTTGGGCAAGGCAGCCATTTCCTCTATCAAGGTCTCTTGGGCCTACTAAAGCCTATCAATTTGCTCCACTGGGCCTCCTCCAGCAACCCAAAAACAAAAATGGAAAGCGCAGCAGAGTCAGGATCAGATACCAATCAATTCATTAGTGTGATGAAAAGGGCAACA